GGTTTGATGAAGACGTTTGGCGTTCGTGGTTAAGTAATGAGGTAACAATTAAAGTTAGCTTAGTAGGTAAAAAAGGGGGGAAAAATTCAAAAGAAGGAGAAAAAAAACACATGTCATTCTTAGCTTTTGAGTGGTGCCAAGTTATCCTCTCAAAATATTTTTAACTTCTCTAATCTATTTGGATTTAAAGATTACAAAAAATTTAAATACATTTCAATATTCGAGTATTAAAAATATTATTTTATAAATCCAATAAAAAAAATTATAATCGCGCGAAGCGCGCATCAATTCACTAGTATATATAATAAAGTTGGGAAAATAAAAGATGATGTGGCATGTTTCATTTGCCAAGGATCACATTTATCTTTTTTCTTAGATTTTATACCTTTTTCCTTATTTTTGCATTTAAATTTTGTTAACAATTAAGCATGTCTTATTTGTTTCTACCATCATTAATATACTATTCATCTCTTTTCCTAAAACGTTTTCTATTCTTTCTTCCGTTACAATTTTTCATCCACTTAAACATCATCATTATTGCTATTTATTTCTTTCCTTTAAATCTCCCTGTTTTCTTTCTATGCATTAGTTTTTTTTCCATAACTCAAAAATAATTCCAATGCCCGAGGAGTGTTCCAATAGAAGTATTTTGCTCTCCAGATATTCAATTCTAATTCTATAGTATTTTGTAACTTTGTTTGCTTTACTTGATGAGATTATAGTTTGTGCAACGTTTTTATTCGTGTTTGATTTCCTCAATTGAAATTGAATTTGGAAGTAGTAGCTCCAGGCTTTCTTTCTTTTACTGCCCTCCCTGTGAGTGAAAATGAAAATGGAGAACTAGGGACTATGGCTAGCCAGAAATTGGTAGAAGAGTACCGGGTATGTCACTATTTGTCTTTTAAAATTTGTCAGTTTCATGGACCCGTTCAAGAGTCATAACCAGGCACCAATAAATGGACTTCTTTACCATTCTTCTACTCTTGATTTTTGATTTTCACTTCTCATCATTAGTTTTTTTTCTTCATATAATCCTTGAAGTTTATTGAAAGAATTAAGAGTTTTAACAATACTTTATTTTTATCTTTCTTTCTTTTGATTTACTTTTAATTGTTATACTATAAGAAAATTACTACATGATCACTACATGATTGAACATTGATATGATCTGCAGATTTCTTGGATGAAAATTTTGTCAATGTATAATCTTTAGAGGAGAATTGGAACAACATCAAGTAATTGACTTTATAGTTTGTGGTAAATAATTCGATAATTCCTTTTGAATTTCTCCATGGGAAGGGAGAAGCAAAAAAGATTTTGTAATTATGTAGCAACGTAAAAGAGTAATTACATGTGCTTCTTTGCTTTTTCTATCCAGTGCAATAGGTTTCTGAAGTTTTATAAATGCCTATTTTAGTGAAAAGTAGTGAAACTAAAGAATCCACATTTTTTTAAAATTCTTTAGCTGATTATTTATATGTAAATATCATATATAAAAAATTTGTTAGCAAATTCTTTTAGTTGATTATCTATAAACATAAATAGAATGGTTGTTATTGTTTCAACCTTTCATATTCCGTATTTTTGGACCGTTACAACCTTTCATCATAATCCATATTTATAAAGAATAAAGAATTCTTACAGTTGCAATGGCTCTTCCCTTATCCTCTAGCCATTCATATTGCTTCTTCAATTCTCGCTTTCATTAAGAATTTATTGAGTTAAGCTTTTGTATTGGGGATGTTTCAACGGAACTTATACTCATTTTATTTTGGCAATTACTATGTTTTTCACTATTTTACAATTGATATTCTTGGAAAGAAAATTAACTAATTCATCTTAGGTCCCGATACATGTGCTAACACAAAGCACCAACAGTAATTGTTAAAATAAGATTATGAGAATGATATTGGAAATATATTAATTATACTACTAGGCATTAGTTGTGTTGCAAGATATATAATGTCGAATAAAATGACTTCAAATTCGATAAGTTGCTCAAGCTTTAACAAGCAATTTTGTGAGGTTGGACATGTCTTTTGAAAAGCATAAGAAAGCATATTACGTACAGGTGTATTATATGATTATGAAGATTTTGTACTAGATATTATACATTAAAATCTAAAAACTGAGACTTAAATATTTGAGAAAGAACAATCAACCTTGAGAAATTATTTATTTCAAAGCTTATCAGAAAATATACAAACAATAAAGTTGGTCAAAGAATACCACCTCAGCATCACCAATTGGAAGTCTTAGAGACATGCGACCATATAATTTTTTGTATATTGATTTTTTATAAACTTTTGTATATTTTAATTTTTTATATATCATTTTGTATTGGGGTTGAATATTTTTAGAAATTTAGATAATATGAAATACACATATAATTAAAATATGACTTTAATGATATTTTTCATCACCGCGCAAAGCGCAGATAGATTCACTAGTTTTAAGTGAAAATGCGGAGACGCCGATCACCAAACTTGCTATCCCTTCAAGAATTTGTGCTGGTTGTTCTCGCGGGCATGATATTTTATACCCCTCCATTTTGATTCAGATGACATATTTCGTTTATCGAGAGTCAAACTCTGTGAAGTTTGATTAATATTTTAAAATATATTTTATTATCATATTGACAAGAGAAAAATTACAACTTATATTACTTTTCGTGTAGTTTTTGATGAATATCTAAATTTTAATTTTAAAATACTAAGTTGAACTAATTTAATTTAGCTTCAAAGTTTAGTCAAATTGACTTTCGATAATCGAAATGTATCATCTTAATTGAAATAGAGAGAATATTATTTGTCTCAGTTTCATAAACTTTTGCCAAAGTAAGCTCACTTCGTTTGCTGCTTCTCCAATTCCTCTTCTTCGTTGCTTCTTCGTAAATGTTCAAAATTAGGGCTGGTAATTTGAGCCCAAATCTATTTAATCCGCTCAATCCATTCAAGATTGGACCGATTATTGAGCCGCTCAATTATTGAACTCGGCCTATTTTGATCCAGACCATTTCAATCCATTCAAATTTGGGTTGATTCTTAACCCAAATTTATCCATGAGTAAAAAGTGTGTCAAAATTGCAGTCTTGCCAATTCTACAAGATTTGTGGCCAGTTGAAATATGATAGGTAGGATAAAGATGGTAGTAAATTTTGTCAATTCATGAGAATTTGTGAACAATTGAACAACAAGGATAAGTTTTATCAATTTGTCAACTGTCAGAACATGTGACAAGATTTCTGGATGTATTTGTATAATTAATTACGGCTTCAACAATATGCGATAATTTAGGGTGATATAACGATAATTTTCGGAAGGTAACATGCGGCCAGTGACGTTCAATTCTTTATGGCGTTGATTTTCTCCAAACCTTTAATTTTCATCTTTACATTTGTTTTTTAATTTTTTGCGATATGTTTATTTAATTGTATCTAGCTATATAAGTCGAAAAATGATAAGTTGGTATTGCGAATTATTACTAAGAAATTATTTATCAAACACACAAATAAATTATAAAGTACATATAAAAAAGTTTTATCTGATAATAAGCTTACCTAAAACGTGTTTTTAATCTTCTAGTGAAACTTATCGGCACACGTTGGTTATACTAATTTAATAAATACATAACTTATATTTTTTGTAAATATGATTGTCACTAGATTATAATTAAATAATATGCATTTTCTCCTAAATTTATTATTAATTATAATATTGAGTACGGATAAGTTTTTAAAGTTTTCCTGTTCTCGCACATCTGCTTTGGGAGCCTAACACTTGAACGAAACTAGAATACTACTCATGTCGATCACTTTAATTGATTTTTTGACCTTTTTTTTTTGTGGTTCATAATATTCAATTTTTTTAGATATCAAAAAAAGGTTTTTTTTTTTTTTTTTACACTTTTTCGGCTATCGAATCTTAATAGATTCTGGCGCGTGTTAAAAGTGGAAAAAACCCATTTTTTTGCCTTTACTGACAGAGGGTTATATGGTTGCAAATATGAGAGTATATATGAAAGCATTTAAGATTTGTTTTAAATATCTTGGACTTTGGAGATCTAATTCCAGAAGATGTCCGTCCACAAAAATAAAATCTAAAATAAAAAGGTTTTAGTAAGAGAAAATTGGGTGTTTCTTGGAAGCTTACCGTGCATGCATGGGCAAAGCAAGTTGCCTAATTGGCTACACCTAATTGACTAAGTAGTTGAGTAGTTTTGACTTTTGAATTGAAATGTGCTTTTAATATTTTTTAAATGTGCTATTTTAGTTTTGTTTGGTCAAGCTGAATATGAACGAGGAAGTCAACTTCAGATGGAAATTAACTTTCTATACCTTTTCCTTTTGTCTTTATCAACCGTCTTGGTTTATTACTATTATCCACATTTTTAAATGATTAGACTCTCCTCTCTTGCAAATTTTATCTTTTCTACTCCCTCCGGTCCACTTTAATTGATTCTTTTGATGTTTTTATACATATTAAAGAATTTATTCTTTAATATTAATTAATAATAAAATTGACTATATTAACCCTAATTTATTCATTAAAAATATAGTAAATACTCCTTGACTCTTTACTATAAGGATAACTTTGAAAAAAAAGAAATTAATTAGTAAAATATATTTATATTCGATAGCCGAAAAAGTGTATAAAATAACATTGTAAAACTATTTTTTGGCTATTATTTTGAAAGCAACTATACAATGTTATTTTCCCAAAAAGTACCGCTTGACAAAATTTTCTACAATCTCAAACCAAATTTTATCTTTTCATAGTTTTAGATCTTTGGGAATAGCAAGTGTGTAGTCCCTCTTTCCCCTTGCGTACGTGTCACTATTAGTATTTTTCAGGAGTTCAAGCAATTATTCTTCTCAAACATTTTAATTAAAAGATTACATATAGAAAAATATTTCATAAAATATTAAGAAATCAATGATAATTCAAGCTGAAAATGATAAATTTTTATTCAGAAAAATAAGAATAATCAGAGTTCACAGGTAGATCGAACAAGCTATTTGAAGACGAATAAACTATTCGAATTTGAAATGTCAAATATTTACAAACTTGCACTACTTCTATGGAAATACTCTTGATCGAATACATGGACAGAGACCATTTATCGTAAATGAATATTCTAGAATCTATCTATTTAATAATAAAAAACATATAATCTCAAGGATAAATAAGATAAAGACATTTGCCTGCAGATGAAGGTGTCTAGTTTTCTAAAAAAGTGGTTAATCAATCATATTTTGTTCGTTCACATTGACAAATTTCTCGATCCATCAGATCAACCTATAATTAGTCAAATGACTAATAAAACCTGACGGATTTATCAATGAATCATTCTAGAATGCCAAAGATAATTAGTCAGATTCTTGAAATGTAGAGAATATGACTCCCAAATCCTGCAGCAACATTAATTTCTAGACCCTGCAATTGTAGACATTTCCAATCCGTCAGTTTCAGAAATAAATTTCCTATTTTAAAAAGTAGGACTCGTAGTTTGACTTGGCACAACGTTTAAGGGAAAAAAAAGACTTTTGAAATATGTGGTCGTAAAAATTTAAGGTCAAAAGTGTTGTGGGCCCATGATATTTTTGTGGCTATAAAAGGTTCTCATTATGGATAAAGTGGATAAAATAAAATATTTACAGTTAAATCATTTTCAAATATATAAATATATCATTCTTTTTGGAATAGACTAATAAGGAAAGTGTATCATTTAAATTGAAACAGAGGGAGTATTAATTAAGATGATCATTCTGTATAAATGAATAAGAACTTCAATTTAGAACATAGGAAGTGTATATTTTATTGCATGAAATAGAATACAAGCTCAGAAAATAATTCTTTTAATATATATAACTTCATGATAAATGAAACCTATAATATCTTCCATACAAATAAATATTCAAACTTTGTCTCAAATTAAGGATTATCCCAATATAATTGATCATTTTAGATATGTACTGAAATAATGTACATCTGCGGTTATATAATATGGTTCTTCTGAAAATGCCCATAGATTTTATCAACATTTTCAGTAAGTCAAACTTGTATTTGCCAATAATTCTGATACTTTATGGGATAAGATTAAATCCTACGTCATTACTCAGCATTAGGTCTATATCAAATCCGTAGTCTTCTACAATGAATTACTTGATGATTTCAGCAAACTCCTACTACCACGAACTTTATAAAGATAAACAGAGCTAGAAATAAATAAACCATAGGCCTTCTGAACCCAAGGTGGCATTTTCGACATCAATTTTATCTATATCTAGTAACAGCGTAAAATTAGTTTTATTGGTTGTAACATGTCACAAATTATATTTTTTACAGGTTATCAATCTTTGATTGCTATTGTAATTGGCTTTAATTAATTGATTAAACAGTGCAAAGAATTCTTTTGCAATCAGTGTAAAACTTTCATTCCCGGATACAAATTCAAGATTTTAAACCATAATTAAAAGAGTGGATCTTGCCTTGGTATGAGTGGATTTATAATAAGTTGAGAGCAATAAGAAACACATATAGACCGTTTAATTAATACTCCTTCCATTCACTTTTACTTGAACACTATAAAAATATAATTTTATTTTTACTTGTCCACTATAATAAATCAAGAGAAAGACAATCTTTTTTTTTTTTTTCATGTTTTACTCTTTTCCGTAAATCATTTTCCAACACTTTTGGAAATGCCATTATTATTATGGATAAACTGTAAAGGAAGTGCAGGTCAAAAATAGATAACTAAAAATGAAGGAAGGGATCGGATTACTTACTGTCGGAAATCAATATTGAGGGAAGGTGCATTTGGATCAGCAATGGCAGTAAGAGCTGCATTAGAAAGGACCATGGTTGTGCCTTCCTTAGTAGGCTTAGAGAGTGCAGTTTGTGCCCGGTCAACGATCTTTATCTGAATTGTTTCTACATGTTTACAAGCTCTAGGTAATACTGAGTTAATGCAACTGATCAAATACTGTCTACCACAAGCAGCTCCATTGTCCCAAATCCCTTCCCCAGCTGCTGCAAAGAAGTTGCTTGAAGGAAACTGTGTTGCATCACTTCCATAACATTCAGTAGCTGTTGAAGAAAAAAATGGAATTAATTATTAAGTTCCATTAGGGGAGCATTGAAGCAACGGTAAAGTTGTCTTCGTATGACCTACAACTCAAGAGTTTGAGCCGTGGAATCAAACCACTAATATTTAGGCAGCCTACGTTACACCCCTTAATTAGGGTGCAATCCTTCCCCCATCCGACATGACCGCAGGATGCTTCGTGCATGGGGCTGTCCTTTTTTGTACCTAAATATTACAATAACTAGTATGCTTCAGAAGGAGAGCCTTGGCGTAACTGGTAATATTGTTACTATGTGATCAGGAAGTCACGGGTTCGAGCTGTGGAAACAGCTTCTTGCAAAATTGCAAGTTAAGACTGCGTACAACAGGATCTTGTGGTCTGTCCCTTCGCCGGACCACGTGGATAGCGGGAGCTTAGTGCACCGAGCTGCCTTTTTTTTTTTAACTAGTAGACTTCAATCGCAAACATATAAGATCTGCTATACGAATTCTCACTGTTCATGTCGTTCCATAATTTTAAAAGAAATTGAGGTTAGAATTAATGAAAGTACTTACGTGTGTATGGTGGGCTATACTGGCTTGCTGTTCCAAGATCAGCTAGAGAAGCATGAAAGAGGTGGGCAAATAGGAAGAATGTTGGCAGCCATAGGAGAAGAGGAAGTGAAGAACGCTTTGACATCCTAAAAAGAAAGGAGTAGTTTATTTTATAAATATTAGGCTACTTGTTATTTGCAGGATCTTAAGCAGCATGTATTTTCCCATCCATATTGTTTTCCACTTTATATATATACTACTACTAGTATATAATAATATTGACCGTACCATAGTTAACATTTTTAAAAGGAATTTTGGTCAACTCTCTTTTATAATACATTTTAAATTTTTTATTAATTAGACTTTTGGTAGAAATCTGACCAAAGTGACTATTTTAAACATTAATGACAGATTTAAGTTTATGTTGCATGTCCATTAATTCAAAGTCAACTATATACATATTTTGTTAAGTTTAAAACCTTATTGTTGTTTTTTTATATATTTGTGCATTATTCAACTATATTATGAATTTCTAACGTATAGAAAAGGAAAACCTAATTTGAATTGAGCATACCATCAGCGTAGGGAAAGGAAAAGGGGTAAGGTGCCTTTCAATACGTTTGAAAACAGAAACTTCTAAGTTCTCTGTGATAACAAACTCTCAAATGGAGAATGAAGAAAATTGAGAAATAATTAAGACTATAATAACTAACCAACCACCGATAATAAATGTAACGCATATATATCAGAAAGAAAAAAAATTTAAGAGACATGAATGTGTAGGACATAACAATATTTTCTAAGGTACACATTAGGTATGAAAGTTTTGAGTTACGTTTGACAATGTTTTAGCCAATATTTGAATTTTTTCTTTAAATACTAATTTTGAGTTTTTAAATGTATAATTGAGTTGAAAACTTGGAAAAAGAAAGATACTCTATTTATTTATTCTCAAGGTGCATGGGACACCAGTAATTAATTAAGAAAGGATCCAGAATTTTTATTACTTTCCTCTTTTAATGGTCAATCATTTTTTTAATAATTCATAGTTAAATTAAAGAATTGATTGGTGAGTAGTTCGCACCGAGATTTTTCAGTTCGTTCAAAGATACTAATGACGAATTATAACAGGCGATTTGATGCTTCTAGAGCTCGCTCATATCGTCTTTTCTAGAATCAAAAGTGTCTTATCTTTCTTTGCCATCTCCATACGTAGTCTTCCTCATCCCAAGAAATTAATTTTTAAAAAAGAATATTCGACGAGGTACAGGTAAGCAGACTTTTTCTTAGTGTGAAATGGGCACAAACAGAACAAGTCGTGTGAATCCAAATGGAATATATCGTCGGTCAACGAACGGCTGCCGACTTAATAACTCCAATCTCAAAGCTGTTTAATTTGGCTCTAATTAATTAATTCGAACTAGAGATTCGGTAATTTGGAATTCTCTAACATGGTTTTCTATAATTTTACATTCTCGAACTAGGAGGAACGTTGAATATTTACTTATGTTAACGAGTGTTTGTTTAAATTTAAATTTAGTTGAATAAGTTAATTGAAAGGTTTTTAAATTTTAAATATTTATTCTGTAAACTTTCATCACTAAACAGACTAGTCTCCTAGGCCCTAGCAAAACCTAATGTAAGCTTACCAAGGACAAATTTTAGAAAAATAAAATTAATTTCTTAAAAACAGTTGTTTTGGACAAAAATAAAAAGGCTAAAATGTCATTTATTATAGATACTGAGGTAACAATAATAATGCACTGTGTCAAAACAATATCGTTAAACAATCAAAATTGTAGTTTTAATTATTCAATCCTAATCCCTATAGACGCAAGTATCGGGAGCAATCAAAATCTGAAGAATTTCTCGGAGTGATGAACGGTAACCCAACATGGAAGGCTGGAGAAATTACTATTTTTCAATGTGCAACTTGTAATTATTAAATGAATTATATATAAACACAAAAATAACATATAATATTCTTTTTATAGCGAGATCCAATCTCCCGATCATTAACTATTTATGTACTTTGTGGGATCAATCGCTGCAATTCTATAGAGTTGCAATTGTACCTGTTAATTCGAATTATATGACTGCTAGTTTACCAGATTGTCTATATGAATAACGTGTTTCCACTATATTATCCTTAATATATCAATCATATATTCCTACGATATTGAATCTATTATTGAATGAATAAAATATATCATTAAACTGAGCAAGACTGTTAGGTATATTCATATTCTAACCGCGAAATTGTTCCCGCTACCTAGGTTCAAAAACAAGCCCACTCTTACTCTAATCTAATCTAAACACGGCTTTCCCAAGCATAACATAGATAATAAGGTACGTAAATCGACAACTACAACAATTCGCAAGTTAAAACTCAAATTAAAGAAAGCCAAAAGGATTGGGGTGAAAACTAAAGAAGTCATTTGAGGGGAAGTCATACCTGAATCGATCTTTCGATGCAAAGACGAATGATGCCTGCTAAATAGTTGAATAGTTAAAGTTTGATCGGAAGATTCAATATTGTGTTTTATGCATATATACATCAAATGATTCAAGATTATGTATTATATATATAGTAAATGCTCATCAAGAAGATTGCACAATTAAGGAAACAAGAATCCGTAAATAATTCATAAGATGAATGAAAAAAAAAGAAAACTTAAAAGCAACAATTACATTTTTTAACGATGCCTTGCCCACAACAACAATTAAAACATTCACTTAGAAGCAAAAGTTAACAAAATAATGGTTTCTATCGCTTTGGTGCGAAGTACTCGGACTGATCATTGACTTTAATTGTGTTTATTGGACGTATTATACAGGGCTTAATTGGGTTAAACTAAATCTTTCAGTCCGATAATTTGTTGCCTTCCAAATTAGGAATTAGGCTAGGTCTCGATTTAGAAAGAAGGACTCAAAAGCCCAAACAGAAAATTACATATTCTCTATGTTTACGCTTTCACATACTGTTCTTTGGCCCATTTATATCCACATTCCTATCTACCAAATTGGGCCTTTGGTTTAGACAAAAACAAACTGGGGGAATCTTATGTAAATGTCCCAAATAAGTCCCAACTTACCAGCCTCTAGCCATTAACCATAGACTTACCAACCTCTAGCCATTAACTATAGACTTATCAAAACTAGTCAAGCACATATAAAAATTAAAAACCCAAATAAATAAGATTCTTTCTCTCCAAGAATCATAAGCAAAGATCTCATTCTATATATACAAGATTCCAAAAATCTAAGCAAAAAAAGATATTTTTTAATGGGTATGGACGAAATTCATATAGATGAGTCAATATACAAATTTTGAGGAAGATTGGAGGTAATTTAGACTGATTTAGTATCAAAATTCGTAGTTAAAACCGAGTTCAAAAAATTCCTTTGTGACATATGTATTATGCATGTATCTCACACACATGTATACATGAATATACATGTGATACACATTAAATACAAATATGATATATATGTGATACACACATCATTTTTTCATGTTCATCTTCTACTTCAAATTTTCAATTCAAACCGCCTCAAAACTCTACCAAATCATCCAAAAACTGAGATTTAAGCTCCTTAAGACGTATCCAATCTATTCTAATAATACCCACTCAAAAGATAGCAAATATTTAACCTTTTTGGCTACAAATAGCTAATTGGCTAATATTAGTAATATTTTGTGAATTAGTCAATTTTTGTAATAAGCTACTTATAAATGGACATACCTGCTAGTTTTTCAAAATTTTGAGCAAGTTACACATTTGCTCGATCGGCCAAAAATAATTATATTTGCTGGACAAATAAATTAAAATATATATATATATATATATATATATATATATATTATATATATATATATATTAGTGCACAAAATATATATATATATTACCGGCTATTATTTTTTAGAGCGACTATATTGTATAATTTTTCCAAAGCCTTATGTTTATGAATTCCCCAATATGAATGCAAGTATCGACTACTTAGGAGAATTATAGAGTATATTTTAAGTCTCCAACTCCTTTCTCTACGATGGTTTTCTTAATAACTTACCAGGTTAAATCTATCTATATTATATTTAAAGCATAAAACCCCTATCAAAATATTGTTCGCCTTTTTTATCCATCATAATTACATTCTATAATGGATAAAATTATAAATACAAATAAAATACTCTTTTAGAATAATTAAGAAGAGTAGAAAGAAGTAGGAAACCCTAATTATAGTCTAACAAAGAATGTAGAAACGGTCCCTTCATATCCTAGCTTAGTGGGAAAGTCTATATTTTCGTAGGTTACATAGGAAAAACAATTAGGACAATATATAAGTAGAAAACTCTTTATTTAATATCTTATTAAAGAGGTCACAATTGTCATATTTAAAAGGGAAAAAGAATAAAACAATAAATAGGAAACTCATTATTTAATCTATAAAAGAGGTCAAAATTTTCGTACGTTAAAAAGGAAAAAGGGAAATACAGCACGTAGGAAACTCATTCTTTAATATCCCTATTAAAGAGTGTAAACAAAATCCCTTAATATCCCAATTTTTTATTTTTCATGGACACTCTCTTTTTGTCACGACCCAATTTTCTCCTCCGTATAACGTCGTGACAGCACCTAATCTCTACGACTAGATAAGCCTAATATTTGCGGAATAATAAAATAAAAAATATTAATTTAACAACTAACTGTATACCATGCCACTTAGCATGTACAATAGCCAACTCATCAATATACTACACAGCATTCCCAAAACCCGGAACATCGTGAATCACAAACTACAGAAGGAAAATCTAGTGTCTCTATACATCAGAGTCTATCAAAAGAAAATACATAAGATAATGGACATGGGGAAGAGTAGAAGGGGACTCCGAGATCTGCGGACGCGGCAGATATACCTTGAAATCTCCAAAGCTGTCCCGGCTCACTGATAGTGCGACTGATAAGGAGTACCTGGATCTGCACACGAAAAACAT